CAGGGAGTGGAGGAGCCGGTGACATTACTAGATGGTAGGAGGTGAGCGAGTATTAGGTTACTCTCTAGGTGGGACCAGGGGCATGCTGGGAAGAAGGGTTTGTTCTTTGGTGGGAGCAACCATCTTGGCATGACGTCACACAGGGAAGGGGGCAAGGCACCATAGGAAGAGGGCAGCTACTATACGTAATGGCTGCTGAGGTAGTGGAAGACCTATCAGTATACTTTTCTCTATAAAGCTGATCTCCTCAGAGACTGAACCTACCTTTGTCATTAGCAGTATCTTCAAAGATAACCTTTCTCAAACAAGGTTCCTCAAAAAAGAAAGAAAGATCAGCCCTAAATTAAAGGTGCCCATTGCACATAGAGAATCAGTATCTTGCCTTTGCATCTAGTATGATTCCATTTTGTACCATTATAGGAAAAAGCTGTGCCTCACTGAGTGAGAAGTAAGGTGTCCCTTGAGGGGCACGTCCATTTTAGGTGTCAATCATTGGGTAAGAAACTAGAACATCAGGACATGAAAAGGAACTCAGAAGTTTGGCTTCTGACATTGTAAAGAGTGAATACTTTCTTCCTTGGCCTGGTCCTCCTGAAGAATATAAACAGTAGTATGCTAGTGTTTTAACATTGGACTCTCCAGCAAAAACAAACAAAAAACAAACCCTGATTTGTAGTGTTTTTCATAGTCTTAATATTCCCAACTGGCTGATTTCAAGCTATTAAAATAATATCACTGAATATGCAGTTGGGTAAAGACATGCACAATTATCTCTTGAATGCTGGCTTTCACACACTACTGAATAGGGTGGACTTGCTGGTGCCTCAGTGCCATGGATGCATGCTGTCAGGTGGCAAAGCATTATTTGCAAATGGCTATGCATGGAAGATGAATAAATCACATTGTGTAAAGACATTTTCCTTGGCTGTATGAAATTCTCTTTGGTTTTTCTTTTGTTACCTCTGAGCCTTTGCCATTGTGATGGTGATAGGTAACAATTAGTGAAAAATTCCCAAAGTGGAAGATAAATCTGAAAGATCAAGACTGCTTTTCCCCTCAGGAGATTTTCTGTCCGTTGACATTCTTCAAAAATAAGATTTTACTCATTTGTATTTTTTAAATTTTACTCTCTTTTGGTGACAGGAATTGAACCCAGGATCTTGTGCTCACTGGGCATGCTCTGTACACTGAATTATATCCCTAAATCTAAGATTTTATTTTTAATGGAAAGAATGAGTTTTCCTTTATAAGTGGCATGGCTGAAAATGATCTACCTATTAGTTTATTATTAATGTTAACCTAGAAAGCAAAATTATAATTTTAACAATATAGATAATAGACTGATTCATATTTGGAATACAGTTTTAAACAACAATATCAGGGCCAGGGATTTAGCTCAGTGGTTCTAACACCTGCCTCACAAGCGCAAGTACCCAAGTTCAATCCCCAGTACAAAAAAAAACAAAAACCAAAAAAAATAAACAGCAGTATCATTCTTTGTAGAAATGTAAAGAGAGATGTTTGGTACTTTTCTTGCTCAGCTTTATGTTTCTCAGATATTTGTTGGTCCTAGAGGAGAGGGTCAAATAGGCAGTGTTTTCAAAATAACAAAGGCTAAGATCAAACAGCTTAGATAATTAGAAATTGAGTTATTAAGAAGTAGGAAGAATTAAATATGTATTTATCTTTTAACAAGAAAAATACATTGGAAGAAGAAGTAAGTGAAAATGCTCAAGGGAATATGTATTAACAACGATCAAAGATGTAGGAGTTAGTAAAAACGTTGCTTCTCTGTTTTTGGAATGTGTATATATTTTGTTTCTTTTAAAAGCAGACAATTGTCCCCTACTAAAAGTTGATAAGATGTGGTAATGAGTTCTGAAGAAAGTATTTTTTTAAAAAGTACCAGTAATTTCTAAAATAGTAATAAATGCCATCATGTTCCATAGTGTGAAGTTGACTTTTTAATGAAGTTTATAGATTAACAACTAAGGAATTAAGTTTTGCTGTGGAGAGTGATTTATATGTAAAAAGAGAAACCAGCTCTGCCAATTTTGATATAGCTATTGAAGTCTTCTTCCAAAAGAGAGGCAGTACTTATTCAACACCTATGGAAAGAGATTCTCTAACCCATAAAACAGAAATCTAAGGACAAGTAAGTGAATCATCTAAAGCCTTTAGAATTCAAAATAAAAGAAAAACACCTTGAAATTGCTGTTTAACAGAAGGATATAACATTTTCAACATTATTCCTTTGATTTTAACAAAATCTGAATACAAATAAAACATGAGCACGGAGACTCTAGTAAAATAGAAATAAATAAGAACACACCCATATATGCAGGTACAGACAGATGGAACTTCACTTCTGAACTCACAGAATAATTGAGACCTACCTCTCCAGAACATTCCTCAAATCTACTGAAGAACATCAAAACTTGAACCTTTAGGGCTGGGGATGTGACTCAGTGGTGCTGAGTCTGCCTGAAAAGCACAAGGTCCTGAGTTTGACCCCTGGTACCACAAAAAAAGAAAAAAAAAAGAAACTTGAACTTTGTTAATTCCTTTCAATTCTAACTAAAAGCTAGTGTCTTATGGCTAATGGTATTATCTCAGTTGTATAGAATAATGTTCTCAATTTTTATTATTTTCTCCTTATTACTACTATTGTTCAAGACAGGGTCTCATGATGTTTCCAGGCTAGCCCTGACCTCCTCCTAGTCTTAAGTGATCCTCCTGCCTCAGCCCCCTTAGTACCTGGGACTACAGATCCAAGCCGCTATGCACAGCTAGTGTTCTCAAATTTTAATGTACCTACAAATTACTTCCAGGGACCAAGTTAAGATTTAACCTCTGATTTGTAAACTGGGGTAGGGATTGAGACTTTGAACTTCTGTTAAGAACCCAGCTGAAGTCACTGATGCTAATCCCATATAGTCTTCATCAACCAGTCTTCTTCATCAGAACTGCAGAGCACAGAGAACGCTATGAGTGGCAATTCTCTCACTTGTTTTCTGTTTGTTTTTGCTGGAGAGCCCAGTGTTAAAACACTAGCATACTACTGCCTATATTCTTCATAATCCAGACTCAGGAGGACCAGGCCAAGGAAGAAAGTACTCACTCTTTACAATGTCAGAAGCCAAACTTCTGAGTTCCTTTTCATGTCCTAATGTCCTAGTTTCTTACCCAATAATTGACACCTAAAATGGACATGCCCCTCAAGGGACACCTTACTTCTCACTTGGTTAGACACAGCTTTTTCCTATAATGTTTACGTTATTCCAGAATTTTATCAATACAACCAATAAGCCTAACATTGGCATCAGATGCAATGAGATCAAAGAAGACAGAAGGAGTGTCATTTCCTTATGTCTTTCATAGGTGCCCTTACATAGGTTTTCATGAGTTCGAGTTAGAATTTCATTGATTTCCAACTTGAGAATAATTGCTTGCTCAATTGAGGGCATTGGTCATTTTATACCATTTTGTTTGCATTTAAAGGTTTAAAAACTAAATTTGAAGAGATATTAAAGACTGTCATTGTTATAGGGATGTGATGGGAGAAGACTGAACAACCCAAGGTTCATCAATAGGAGATTTAAGTGCATAGATCAAAGTATGTCAGTACATGGGCCAGGGATTTAGCTCAGTGGTTCCGTCACCTGCCTCGAAAGCACAAGGTCCCGAGTACGATCCCTGGTACAAAAAAAAAAAAAAAGTATGTCAGTACAGTGGAATGCAGTGTTGTCATAAAAAAGAATGGGCAGAGATAAATAATAATATAGAAAAAGAAAGACAAAGTACTGTTACATTGAAAAGATAGTTGCACAACACGGTGATCTCATTTTTAAAATAAAAAGGCATTCATATGAATATATTTGTATAAGTAGAAATTTTGGATGATATATATACATACATATGTGTGTGTGTGTCTGTGTGTCTGTGTGTATATACACACCCAATGTATAATAATGGTTTCCTCTTCAGAGCAGGATTTGGGAAGGTGGAGAAAACTTTTTACTGCAAGTGATATTTGATATTTTTTTACATGTGTGTATCATTTTTATAGTTTAAGAAGATATATTAAGAGCTATATATCTGTTTAGTTATATATTTAGGATCTATGCATTTTGCTATCTGTAAGTTATACCTATGCCTTAAAAAAGAAGAAGAAAAAGAATAAGCCGGGCCGGGGATTTAGCTCAGTGGCACCGTGCCTGCCTCTCAAGCACAAGGTCCTGAGTTCAATCCCTGGTACTGCAAAAAAAAAAAAAAAAAGCTATATGCCAAAGTTCAGTCAACCATGTTAAACCTGACATTACTGAAGTAAATGAATTTCTCTTTGGCATTCCACTATTAAATATATGATTTTGATTAGCTAATCATTTAGAAATTAAAACATTAACATTAGTCCATCTTATGTAATAATGATTATTTCAAAACAGCTCATTTATTAATCTATGTAACATTTTTACCATGCTTCAAGGAATCTTGCTTGCTGCCCTCCCATTAAAAAAATTGTTATTGCTCAGAAAATTGTTAAATAGGAACCATTTTGGACAAAAAAAAGAGGTTAACAATAATCTTTTATTGCAGAGACATATTAAAGACTGTCAAAACAAAGTGCCTGCTATTTTGGCATTTGCCATGTGGTACATATACAAAGTGACAATATATTAAAATTCCCCAGGAAGCAACAGATCTCAAGTGGTTGTATCCCTAAATTGATTAAATTTAGACATATATTTTTGGCATCAAAAATACAAGTTGTTCAGAAGTCTTTTACTTTTTCTCCTTTCAATGAAGGATTCTTCTGAGAAGAATAAAGAGGAAGTTGCTGCTCTCAAAATCCAAGCAGCCTTCCGGGGACACATGGCCAGAGAAGAGGTAAAGAAAATGAAATCAGATAAACTTGGAAATGACAAAGAAGAAAAAAATGAGTGAGGACACTGGTTTTACCCCCAGAAAACATGAAGAAATAATCCAAATCTACCAAACTTGTAATTGTCATTTTTTCCTTAGTAAGGGAAATTTGATGTCATAAAATAACATTTGATGCTGTTGTGAAAATCTGTTGAGTGTTTAATAAACATGCCAGGGAAACATACCACTTAAAGATTTCTCTGAAATTATGGGGATTGTTTCTACTTGTCCCAGGTCTATGGATAGATACCTTTGGATTCGACTAGCAAACTGGAGAGGTTATATGGTCTGACCATTATCTCAGGAATATATCCTCTCTATCACATCCCTGAAAAAATGGTTCTTTACCTCCTGTTTCCCTCTAGTGATAAAGATTTTACTGCCTTTCAAAGGTAGTCTACTTAATTTGTATGTATGGATTGGGTGCTGGCAGTTAAACCCAAGGCCCTCAGCACATTAGGCAAGTGTCCTACCACTAAACCACATCCTGAGCCCCTAGTTTTTGAATGTATTAAATTATTAGAAAGATAAAGTAAGTAAAAAGTCTGCCTTCCTTTAAGTTTTACACTTTGATTTTCATTTGTCATGCATGTATTTAATCCTTTATTGAAAATGTATAAAGTACCATTCATGTGCCGGGATTTAGTAGTGAATATTTATACTTTCATTCATGGAGTTTACAGTTCTTACTGTCTTATTCTCAAAAACCAAAATCTTTCTTAGTCACTTTTCTTAGGGCTAAAAACATAATACCAGGCACCCACAACTTAAAGGAGAAGAGGTTACAGTCCATGGTCAGCCTGCTGCAGGGCAGAAATGGCCAATGAGCATAGCAGAAGAAAGCTGCTTATGTCATGGTTGCCAGAAAGCAGAGTAAAACAAAGAGCCAGACCATGGACCCATGATTCAATAACCTTCTAAAAGCCTCACCTATGAGCACATGAGGCTCATTTGAGGGACATACTTGATCTAAAACATAACAAAATGCATGCAAACTTCTGCTCTTCAGGAAGCTAAGGATAAACATTTGTCAACAAGGAAGTAACTAAGATAGTTCCCAAGTCTTTTAAATATATAAATGGTAATACACAAACTCAGAGGCCTTTTATCTTTTATCTGGGTCTCTTGTTCCAAATGAATTTTTGGATTGTTTTCTCAAGATCCAGGAAGTATGCTGCAGGGATTTCAATTGGGATTGCATTGAATCTATATAGAAGTTTTGGAAGTATGGCCATTTTCTCTATGTTGATCCTTCCTACCCATGAGCAGGGATGTCTGTCCATTTTCTGATATCATCTGCAATCTCTCTTTTCAGAGTGCTATAGTTTTCAGAGAAGAGATCTTTGATTTCTTTTGTTAGGTTGATTCCTAGGTATTTCAGTTTTTTGGATGCTATTGTGAAAGGAATTGTTTGCCCTATTTCTCTCTCAGTGAGTCTGTTGTTCCTGTAGAGGAACGCTATTGATTTTTGTTCCACACAGTCTTAAATCTAATATCACACATCCTAAATCCAGCCACCTCTGAAAAGCCTCACCTATGAGCACATGAGGCTTTGGGGGCCATCTAGATGCAAAGTCATAACACCCACTATAATGGTATTGATGTTTATCTGATCTTTTATGTCCATCAGTGTTTGTTTTATGAAATTAGATACATCGTGGTTTCATGAATTGTTCCATTAACCAATACGTAATGTCATTCTTTGTCTCTGTTGATCAGAATTGGCTTAAAGTCAATTTTATCTGAAAATAGGATGGCTACTCCTGCCTGTTTTAGGGTTCCTATTGCGTGGAATATTGTTTTCCATCCTTTGTTTTTTTAGGCTATGAATTTCTTTTTGTTGTAGATGTATTTCTCTTATACATCATACCATTGGATTTTGTTTCTTGATCCATTTTGCTAATCTGTGTCCTATGACCAGTGAATTGATTCTATTCACATTGATAATTATAATTGATAGATACTGACTTATTCCCATCATTCATTTGTATTATTTACTTACTGTTCTTTTGCTTTCTTTCCCTTCTACTTAATTGCTAGCCCTACCTGATACATTCATTTGTTTGGACCTTTGGCATTGTTAGTTCATTGTCTCTTTCTAAGATATCCTAGAGTATTTGGTGGTCATGAATTTCTTTAGGTGTTCTTTATCGTGGAAGTTTTTAATCTCTCCACCAATGTTCAAAGATAATTTTGTAGGATTTATCAATCTGGGTTGGAAGTTATTTTAAGGTTTGAAACACTCCATTCCAAGCTCTCCTTGCCTTTAAGTTTTGTGTTTAGAAATCTACTGTAATTCTGATAGGTTTTTCTTTATAAGTGACTCATTGATTTTCTCTAAAAGCTTTTAAGATTCTGTTCTTGTGTTGGATTTTTGGTATTTCAATTATTACATGACGTACAGTGATGTTTTTTCTGATCAGGGATATTCAAGTTTCTATATGCCTCACTTATTTGTATGTTAAATTCTTTTCATATGTCTGGAAAGTTTTCTATTACATCTATAAACAGGTTTTTTATGACCTTTGTGCTGTCTTTTTTTTTTTTATTAATTCCAGTTACTCTTATATAAGCCTTTTTTTTGTCTTCTAGTAGCTATTGGATCCATTTTTCATGTTCTCTTTTTGTCTTTAAGGAATTGGCCATTAGTTGATCATTATAGCCCTTTTTCCTAGATCTGACTCTGTTCTCACATAGCTCGTTTCTGCTGCCCATGTTTTCAATTTTATTTTTAATCTCTTGGATTTGCATTTGGAACTTTTTTTATGCACTCTCATGTTTTCTGTGCTGGGCACTCATGTTTTGTATCTCTTTAGCGCCACTAGATTTTTATTAGTGTCTTCTCTAGATTCTCTATGATTATATGTTTCTATGATTCTATCAAATTGTTTTGTTACCTTCATTAATAGCCTTTCAGACATTTCTGCTGTGTGGCTTATGACTTCCTCCCCTCTGTGCCCTGTGGATTGGCTTTGGGAGTTTTAGGAGGCATTTTACTGCCTCATTTTCTCATTTCTATTTTTTTGTTTGCTTTCTGTTGTGGAGTTTGCAGTTTCTTTGCCCCAATGCCCAGTTCTTTGAGAATGAACTACACTGTTGTTTATGACCCCCAGGCAAGCCAGATATTGGCAAACAGAGAGAACAATTGACAGCACCAACTATAAAAGTAAAGTCAGCAACAACAATGGTGTCAAATATAAACTGGATATTAATAAACCTTAAGAAGCAACCATTAAGCACTCTTAACCAGAGCAAAGAGGTTTACAGTTTTAGTGTAGAGACTTTGGCAACCCAGATAATGACCTATAGTAAATGAGACCACTAGTTTCTGCTGGATGTAGGCAGTGGTGCAAAAGCTCAAGTAGTCCACTGGACTCAATGTCATCTCCTGCAGATCCACCCCCTCTAAAGTTTACAACCACCAAACCTGGCCTCTCACCACAGAATTACAGGCCCTGTGATCTTCCTGGCCTGAGCTTGAGCTCCTCAGGCAATCCGAAGAGATCTCTGTTTAGCTGTCACCCTTTCTAAGCCTGTCTTCCAAGGCTGTCTCTCAGGCAGTCTCTGTGGTAGGGTAACACTTCAGTCCTGGAGTGAAACGCTTCTCCTCGCTTTTGGTCTCATGCTCAGTCAGGCCAGTCTTTTGGTTGTCACCTCTGCTGCCCTGTCTGAGGAGAGCCAGCTAGAATTTGATAGTTTGGCCACTCTCCTCTCTTGCACAGGGTATACAAGGTGGCCAGTGTTGGGGCCATGGGGCCTCCTCTCCTGCAGGGTGTACAAAACAGCTCATATTGGTGGCTGCAGCAGGGTGTGGCCTCTCTCCTCTCCTGTGGGGCAAACAATCATTCCTTTTTAATAAATATAAATTTATAATAATCTGGAGAGATCTGGTCTCCATTGCACTGTGTTATGGAGCTCAATCAAATAGTGTCTTTATGATTAAATAAATCCAGGATAAGGGCCTCAATCATCACTGTCATTGCACCTCCAAATATATCATGCACTTTTTGTCCTCTTTTTTTTAATGTTATTAGTACTTGTTTGAAAGTACATAAAGTTTACATTCATTTTTGAGAGTAAGTCTATGTACTTAAGCATCTTCTTTTTATTCTTTCCCCTCCCTTCCCACCTCTCTCCCTCCAGATCTAGATCCTTTTTTTCCCACTTTATTACTATTATTATCATTATTTCATGTTTGTGACATGCAATGTTTACATTCATTGTGAGTGTTTGGTACATGTACATGATGCATCCTAAATCTTCTTACACCTGCTTCCCCATCCTTTGTCCCCTCACCCTCAGTTTCTTGGGCCCCTTCCCATTTGCAAAAGATCTATTGGTTCCTTTTATCAGTCTTTTATTTTGCTCTTTATTTGTACTTTGCATTACTCAAATGAAAAATGATACAATAGTTAAGTTCGTGTGTCTAATTTATTTCACTTAACAGTATGTCTTCTAGGTCAGCTTCTCCAGCATTTATTAGTTGATTTTTTGATGACTGCCATTCTTTCTGGTTTAAGATGAAATCTTAGTGTTGTTTAAATTATGCACTTGTTTGCTAAAGCAAACTAAACCATGACTTGCTTATTCTCTGAATAAAATTAACCCAGCGGTTTCTCTCTATACTTCAAGACAGCTTGAGCTTCTTAACATTTGAAAACATTTTAGCAAGTCCCATGTTTTCTTTAAACTCTGGCTATTTCCTTCTTTTACTGAGAGGACAGAGGCTAGGTAATAATTGTCTACATGCCCTTCTCTTGGCTTGAGGATATTTCCAAAAAGTGGATTATAAACATAGGACTTGGAGTTAGTATATTTTTTGTTTTTATTCTTATTTTCTCTCTCTTGTTTATCTGGAATGAACATATAATGATGACCCATTTGTTCAATTTATGATTTTAGCAAACTATTTTCATCTGAAGTGCTTTGTACAAATATAGCTACTGGGATTGACAGTTATAGTAAGTCCCCAATTTATGAACATTAAAATTGTGATCTTTCACAGATAGAAATGGACCTCACATTAGAAACATTTTTTGATGCAAACAAATTGCAGAAGTAGCTCATATATCTGCCAGACATTGTTACAGTTGTGTTGCTGTACACTTACTGTACAGTGCTATAGTGTACAATATTTTTTGTGTGTGTGTTTGGGTTTTATGCCTTACATTGTATATTTGTGTTGAA